ATTTGACATTTCAAAGTTGGCTATACCGGAGAAATTTAAATTACGAATTTCAAGTTGAAGAATTTAACCAATCAGAAGACGTTATTTAAAACGTTCTTGCAATAAACAAACGAAACTGGTAGATTTTAGTGTGATTTCGAACGTTATGAGGAGTGCACGCTAATTTTTGTCCTCCTTCATTTAAACAACCAAAAGAAAAGTTAGGTTACTTGTTAATCACCATTGTGACATAACCTCAAACATAGAAAACTTATTTTAATAAGTTAAATGAGAAGATTATTTGAATTAAAATTGTTCACCTTTAGTAATAAACAAGAAAATTAACCGGTTCCTGATCCAATTAATCCAGAATACTATTCCGAAGAATTATTCCAATTTAATCAAGAATCTTTGTTACCAATTCCTTTTGAAGAGTCCAAGTTTCCTTATCCCAGAACTTCAGTAATCTACAACATTAAACTAAGTTATAATTTTCTATTTCATTATTATTCGTTGTTTTTATTTTAATTTTAAATTTCACTTACCTTAAATACGATTAATTTGAGTTATTATTTTGTGTGGTTATGTTATGACAATTTCTTTACGTATTATTATTACGTATTATATTAAAACGGGTTAATTAATTTACTTCGTATTAACCACAAGTTAAAAAATATTATTAATTATTTCACTGAGGGTTTTGTTAAAATTTACTTATTTATTATTAAATTTATTATTTAATAGTTAGAATAAAAAACATTAAGTCCTAAGTTAGCAACAATGAAGATAGCAATTTAATTTTTAAATATCAATACCAACCTTAATTTTTTATTTTTTTTTTATTATATTTTTGTTTTTGTGACAAATACTAAGACATTTTATAAAAATTAAGAATATGTCAAAATGATGTTGACATTTCAAATTGCTTATAACTCGAGTAATATTGGAAGGATTTTAAAGCATTTTAAAGGATTTTTTTTCATTTTAAAGGTAAATATGTCAAAATTGAGGTTGACATTTTAAACCTTGACCAAAAGTTAGTTAGCATACAGGGTGAATAAAAAGTCTGGAACACCTCAAATATCTTCAAAACGAGTTTCTTTTTGAAAGAATCCTTTTAGGATTGTTGTCCATTTACTATTTGACAGTGCCCTAACCTAATAATAAACTCATCTTGCACACTTTCAATTATGTCCGGTTCAATTTTTCTTATCTCCTCCCGAATTCGTACCTTTAAATCGTCGATGTTCGCGGGTTTATTAACGTATACCTTACTTTTTAAATGACCCCATAAAAAGAAATCCAGGGGAGTTAAGTCTGGGGAACGAGGTGGTCATTCTAAAAACCCATCGATTTTTGTGGAAAAATATCATCCAAATGCTAGTATTTATAAATGAAATAAATCATCAAAATTATTTGAAACTTTCTAATATTTCCGATTTTGCATACTTTTTTTTAAATTGAATCAAATCCTTAAGGTTATATTTGATATTTTGAATGATAAAGATAAATCTACAATAAACGTTTATTGTCTTAACTAGAAAAAAACAAACATATTTATATATATTTATATAATTTTTTTGTCAACTAAAAGAATAGAAAATTAATAATATTAAAAAAAAAATTATCAAGAAAACAACAAAGAAAAGAAAAAGGAATATTTGGTATTTATCTTACAGCAATAAGTGATGTTAATTATTAATAAAGAAGAATAACGTTTTTTATGTACTTATACATATAAAAAATCAAAAACTATTTATGTATATACAGGTGTCTCTAAATATACAACACTGTTATAGACTAGACGAACAATAATGAATTCGTCATCGTTATTTCCATAATTTACAAAAAAAATAGTCAAAAAAACAAAAACATTTAACTTAATTAATTAATTAAACATGACAAAAAATAATAAACAAAATCTACTTCTTTTTCCTGGAAAAAAACATATCCTTCCATCGGGGTGATTTTTGATCGTTAACTTGCATTGTTGACGGTCTTGGCATACTTCTATCTTTCCAGTCCATTTTCGGTGATCCATCTCGCAACGCGTTATTTCCTAAAAAAGAATGAACGATTATTAAAAAAAAAATAAAGGCAGTTTAAACAATAAGAATCATGCAATTACAATGTTTGTAGTAAAAGAGAAAAAAGAGGTTTTATACAAAGCTGGATTAAAAATAAATAGGAAATAGTGAATGTGGTGTTTTTCATGCAAATGTTAGTCAATTCCCAAAAAAATTCGTTTCCTTTTTATGACTAACCGTAACTTTCGTTGCTTCCATCAACAATCGTACTGTGTCTTCTTATTGCGTGATTATTCGGCGGTTGTGTCATTGGTAAAGGTGGTGGACTGTCTCCTAATAGGTTATTTTAATAGTTATAAAATTTGTTAAAAAATTAGTATCAAATTTTTAACTGTTAATATGACGTTTGATTTGAAATAATTTTTTACCTGTAAAAGTATGTCTTTGTCCATGACTAGCTGCTGCGTTTCCATTAATACCGGGATCATATCTCAAAACGACCGAATCAGGTACATCCGGACTTGAAGTCCTACTCGATTGCGAACTAACTTCTTCGTGTTGATCCTATTTAAAAAATTAATTATTTACGATTCTTCTTAATAATAATTTTCTTTACCTTTGGTATAAAATTTAATGATACAAGTTGTTGACTCGGTGGTAATCTTGCTTTAAATGAAATTTTGCTCACCCAATCGGTCATTTCTTCTGGTCGCGTGCAAGAAAATAAATATTCAGATTGATCTATCGTAATCAATCTGAACGTGTATCGGCGTTTTGTGTAATCAGTCGCGATGGAACATGTCGAATTATGAAGTCCGATCGGAGAACATAAAGCTTTACTTGCGGCGAAATCATCTTTATTTTTAAAGAAACATAATAATTGTCCGCATAAAACGCTGTAACAGATTTTCCATTGACGATTCGGCGCTTTTTTACCCCCTGATATTAAAACTTGTTTTCGTTCGAGGAATGATTCTATTTCAACTGGTGGTAAATCATTTTCTACAAAAAAAAATTTTTTTTAATTGATTTACCTTCTATTATGAAAATTAAGTTTTACATGTCTTTCTGACGTTATGTAACGTCACTTTTTTGTTAACTAGTAATGTAATGGTTTCATTACCTAACTACAAATTGATTAATTGACAATCTGTCACTAATAGAATAAGTCAAGTTTTGAACAAAAATTGCTTTTACCAATTCCATTATGAAATAGTACCCAAATGATTCTAGTTTTAGGTCTTGTGTTAGTTCTAGTGCTAGTGCAAAACTAGAACTAACACTAGACCTAAAACTAAAAACATTCAAGGTTAACTTTTTTTATTCTACGCTTTTTGAGATAAATTTTTTTTTAATAGAGAATACATCATGAAAGAACACCATGAAGTTGTCCATTTATCAATTATATGATAATTAACTTCAGGTTTAAACTGTCAGTTTTGACATATTTGTAATCTTCATTAAAAATGCTTTAAAATAAGTACAAACACGACATATTTATCTTCAATATTAATGAAGTTATGGTCAACTTCTGAAATGTCAACGTCAATTTCGACATATTTGTAATCGTCGTGAAAAATCCTTTAAAATGAGTCCAAACATGATACGTTTAATCCCAATATTACTCGAGATATAAGCAACTTCCGGTTTGAAATGTCAATGTCATTTTGACATATTCTTAATTTTTATAAAATGTCTTAATATTTGTCACAAAAATTAAAATATAATAAAAAAAATAAAAAATTAAGGTTGGTATTAATATTTAAAAATTAAATTGCTATCTTCATTGTTGCCAACTTAGGGTTTATGTTTTTTGTTCTAACTTTTTTGTTTTTTGTGATAAATGCATCATGTTTGGACTCATTTTAAAGGTTTTTTTAATAAAGAATACATCATGAAAAAACACCGTGAAGTTGTCCATTTGTCTATTATATGATAACTAACTTCAGGTGTAAAATATCAACCTCAATTTTGACATATTTGTAATCTTCATTAAAAATCCTTTAAAATGAGTACAAACACGACATATTTATCTTCAATATTAATGAAGTTATGGTCAACTTCCGGTTAGAAATGCCAACGTCAATTTTGACATATTTGTAATCGTCGTGAAAAATCCTTTAAAATGAGTCCAAACATGATACGTTTAATTCCAATATTACTCGAGATATAAGCAACTTCCGGTTTGAAATGTCAATGTCATTTTGACATATTCTTAATTTTTATAAAATGTCTTAAAATTTGTCACAAAAACAAAAATATAATAAAAAAATCAAAAATTAAGGTTGGTATTAATATTTAAAAATTAAATTGCTATCTTCATTGTTGCTAACTTCGGGTTTAATGTTTTTTATTCTAACTTTTTTGTTTTTTGAGATAAGTGCGTCATGTTTGGACTCATTTTAAAGGTTTTTTTAATAAAGAATACATCATGAAAAAACACCGTGAAGTTGTCCATTTGTCTATTATATGATAACTAACTTCAGGTGTAAAATATCAACCTCAATTTTGACATATTTGTAATCTTCATTAAAAATCCTTTAAAAGGAGTACAAACACGACATATTTATCTTCAATATTAATGAAGTTATGGTCAATTTCCGGTTAGAAATGCCAACGTCAATTTTGACATATTTGTATAATCGTCGTGAAAGATCCTTTAAAATGAGCATGATACGTATCATGATAATAAACATGATACGTTTAATCCCAGTATTACTCGAGATATTAGCAACTTCCGGTTTGAAATGTCAAAAATTCTAAAGTCTAAAAATTTATCACAAAAACAAAAATATAATAAAAAAATCAAAAATTAAGGTTGGTATTAATATTTAAAAATTAAATTGTTATCTTCATTGTTGCTAACTTCAGGTTTAATGTTTTTTGGTCTAACTTTTTTGTTTTTTGAGGTAAGTGCGTCATGTTTGGACTCATTTTAACGGTTATTTTATGAAGATTACGAATATAATAATAAAATTAAAGTTGACATTAACACATGAAAGTTTTTTTCTTAATTATGCGTCAAAACTCTTTCAAAAAACACCAAAATTATTTTTAGGCACACGGCTAAACCCGAATATTTCTACGTCTAGTGTTGTAATTCGCGTATTTGTCCTTTTTTTTAACAAAAATAAAATAAATTTTGACAATGTAGGGAAATAGATATGTAGCAGTTGGTAACACCGTCACATTTGAAAATAGAAATTTGAATTGACAATTAGACAATTTTTTTTAATGCTACATTTCTATTTCCGTACAGTCAAAATTTATTACATTTCTGTCAAAAAATAGCATAAAAACACGTTTCATAAGACATTCATTTTAAAAATTTTAGGTTGGTATTAAAAATTTCACCAAAATCCTGAATACGTCATTTCGAAAATTTAAACGTCATTCTTGTTTATTGTTAAAATGTAATTTTGAAGCTTTTTGGCTTCATTGTTAAATTCAAATTCTTTTCTAGATTGCAAAATCCCATTTTAACTTGGATCTTGCGATGACGAGAGGTGCAATATTTGAAAATGACAAATTAAAACTTGCAATGAAAGACATTTTAACAATAAATGTCATTTTGACGTTTTAATTTATTTTTAAATTTAAAATTTTAGGTTGGTATTAAAAATTTCACCAAAATACTGAATACGTCATTTCGAAAATTTAAACGTCATTCTTGTTTAAGGTTAAAATGTAAGTTTCAAGCATATATATACTATCTTCTATATCGCTGACTCCCTATCTAAGCAATGAGTGGCGAGCGTTTCCATCAAAAGAAGACGGAATGATATATGTTTTGTCTTTGTCGTACCCCCGTGTCGCGAAAGCGCTAGCGCGAATCGTAAATTTTAAAGAGTTTGAAGTGTTTCGCGCGTATTTTATGCAGCTTTAAAATGCAATTATTATTATAGATGGTTTACTTTAACTATAAATTATCACTGATGCATCAAATAAATTAGAGTATATGTACTCTAAATGTTTATAAAGAAAAATGTTTCAAGAAAAGGAGGACTTTGAATTCTTTTTTATTACACTGAGACCTTTCCTTCTACCTGCTTAACCAATTTTTAGGACCCAAAAATATCTCCACTACTCTTTTTCTTTTTTATTTTACTTTTAACACATTTGCTTCACTTTCTTAACAAATAACAATTACATTTTAAATTGCTTAGTCCTAAAATATGTTAATAATTATGTTATTATACACATGAAACCTATAATATACATAACTAAATATTTAGATTTTAGGTTATATTTATGTCAAACATTTATTTGTTGATTTATAAACATCAAGGTCATCAGCTGCTATTAATTTTTAATTCACCGTCCAATAAGATAAAAGCGTACTCATCACGTGTTCACACATGTCTCTTGAGTCGACGGGGGTACGACAAAGACAGATATATATATATCTGCACTCTAGTGTTTACACTCTTTTGCTGCCTTAGTCAGCGATATAGAAGATAGTATATATATGGTTTCAAGCTTTTCGCGTTATTTTTAAATTCAAATTCGTTTCTAGATTTCAAAATCTTATTTTAACTTGGATCTTGTGATCACGGGGCGTAATAGTTAAAAATGATACATTAAAACTTACTATTAAAAAGACATTTTAACAATAACATAATATCATATACATACATTGTCAAATTATGTATACTTCCTAATTCCATTATGAAAATTAAATTTCTGACGTTATGTAACGTCACTTTTTTTATAACTAGTGATATAATAATTTCATTACCTAACCACAAACTGATAAATTGACATCTGTCACTAATAGAATAAGTCAAGTTTTGAACAAAAATTGCTTTTTCAATTTAATTAGATAAAATTTGGTACTTAAAACGTTATGAAACGGCTAATTTTTTTTAAATTAGTCTTTTCATAACTAATAATTATTAATTTAATTTTATTTTTTTACCATTTCTTTGTCTTAATGATCCTCTTCGTCTCGTGGTAAAACTAGGAGTTCTTTTAACCGGTTTCGACCCAGTAGCAGCCTTCATACTCTCCGCCCTTTTAATATTCGCCTCGGAACCGCGTCTACGATCACCAAAAATATGCGCAACCGAATTCGATTTGGTAATATTCGTCGGCCCTTCCGGTCGTTGTTCTTTTTGCGCGTTATCGTCGACTTTTTCCTGCCACAATTCGGGTTTTCGCTCCAATTCGTACCGTTTTTTATGCGCGGCTCTTCTTAGCTGTTCCAAACGTTCGTTTTCTTGTTGCCTTTCGTAAGCTTCTTTTTCTTTTTGTTTCATAAATTCCTCCTCGATTTTCGTGATACGCTTCAAAGCGTTAAATTTGTCTTCTTGCGCTGCGATCGTTGATTCGAAATCTTCGTGTTTTCGAATTAATTCTTCGACTTGCGGGATTGATTCGCCTACTTTTGGGTCTCTTAATGTTCCTTCGCGTACTGATAACCAACTGTCCAATAGATTAGCGTCCCTTTTAAACATTTGGAGGTCGTAATTCTTTTGGTAGATGTCCATGCGATTCGTCCATGTTAATTTTAGGTAGTTTATGCGGTGGTCTAGTGTTGTTATTTTTTCGTAAATTTCTGGGGCCATGAAATGTTTTTGTTCGATTAATTTATTTCCGGTTTCCATGAAATTGATTAAGGCGCCATCTCTTGAATCGATTTCTACTTTGTATTCTTGGTGACGCGCGATTAATCCTTCGGCGGCGGAGACGTCTTGTGGCAGTTCTGGGGCTGTTATTTTAGCTAGCATTTCGTTGATCCACGCTAAAAATTCTTGATGTTGGTCGAAATAAGCTTGTAGTTGTTCAGCTTGTTGTAAATTGTCTTTTCGCCGATTTGATTTCGTTTGCAAATCTTCCCAAGCGTTGAACGCATCATCGCGTTTAACAGCAATATGATCTTCAGCATCAGGAAATTGTTCTATTAATTTATTTGATTCTTGATCAATCGCGTCGATTTGTTCTTTAACGGCTTTTAATTCGCTTTCGAATGTGTTGTGTTTGCGGACCATGGCTTGGATACCTTCTAAGTCTTGCGCGTAAACATCCATGTTTAAATTTGATTCTTTTTCTTGAATCCAACCGATTGTTTCATCGGCTGTTCGATCGAAAACGTGAACTTGCCGAGCACCTATTAAAGCTTCTTTCCTGGCCGTTGCTAACTCCAAAACATCGTTCCACATGTCTTGTAATTCTCGGACTTTAGTTTCGATTTTATCTTTATGCCCGTTTTCTTTAATCAATTTATTCCCGTGTTCGATACAATTCTCAATTCGACTTGAACTGTTTTGTAGGCTCGAATAAACATTTTCGAATTGTTGCGTTAATAACTCAACGTGTTCAACGTCTGTACCATATTCCTCCGAGCTATATTTAGTCTGTTGATCCATTAACCACTCTATAACTTCATTACATTCGCGTAAAAATGCGAAATATGATAGGGCTTCGGAAAGCTTAGTTTCGCGTTCAAATAAGAGTTGCTCGATTTCGTTGAATTCGGTTTCAATCTTTTCTTGTTGCTCGATTATGTTTTTCGCATCGAAATGATTTCGGTCGAGTAAACTTTTCGACATCGATGATAACCGATTAATGTTTGGTTTATAAGCGTCGATTTCGAGGCTGAGGGCTTCGAGCTTGCGTTGAAGTGTTTGCGTTGAGTCTTCATCCCGACCAACTTCGGATGATGATAACAACGGGCGTTTATCGTTGCACCAAATTTCAGCTTCTGAAGCTTCAGCGTAATACTAAAAAATAAAAAAAAAATTAAAATTATGAAGATGTGTAGTATGCAACCAGATTTGCACGTTCGTGGTAATTGGACTGTGGACGGGAAGATGGCGCAGGTAGATTACTTGAAATAAAGCTGTCAGTTTGACAGCTTGTCAGTATATGTTACCACTTATTTACAAAAATAATGCCATCTTGTTGCCTTTGGAGTTGCAAAAATAGTAATAAGAAGGGTTTTCGACTGTTCAAAGTACCACGAGAAAAAAAAAGAAAGGAAATTTGGCATGATTTTATCAACAGAACGACATAGTTTTAAATGCCCCGCTTGACTTTCGAGTCAAAATGGAGGCAAATCGCGCTACTTTGATAATCTAGGGACTTTAACCCTAATAGAAAGCTAAACTGTTCAAACGTGACATACGATTATAGAAATGAGAGTTCTCACTGCGCATGCGCGCCGGAAGTGACGTAAGAGAAATTCATAGCGCGGGAAATTTGAAATATGGCGGGAAATTTAATCATTCGGTACAGTAGTACAGATCTTGGAGTCGACAATACAGAAACTTAAGAATAGTTATTTATTGTGTAAGTGTTTTAGACAACAAGATAATTTTCTGAAGTGAATAAAATGTATCTAAAACACGCATGCAATACAACGTTCTATCCACAATCACACTCATTTAGAACATAGAAAAATTTATATATATTATGTATATAGAAGGTCATCTCCCCACTATTTTTTGGTACATTGAGCGCTCCCAAGGGGATTGTGAGGGAACTAATTAGGTTAAAGCGCGAAATTTAAATATAGGTATTTCTATACCGGTTTATACCAATACTTTATTTTGAAGAGGTCAAGTGCATTTTACAAATAAATGCAAAAAAATATGAATTTATAGTTTTTCCAAGATAAAATTCATAATTTTAAATATAATATATGTATATTGCTCTCATTTAAGAGCGCCAATTTATCTATCGGATAAACTTATGAAGAGGTGGTAAACGTGGCCCTAACTTATTTAAACACTTAACTAAAGGATATAAAACACTAAGCCAAAGGAAAGTAAGAAAGAATATACACTGGGTTATCACCAGTTATCACACCAAACGACAAAACAAAAATGTGACGTTTGCTGTCACCTATAGGAAAACCAGCTGCTTAGTAG